GTGGTCTCTTTTGGCAGCTGTTGTTCACACCCGCATATGTACAATGCCCACTTCTCCCACTGCATTCCTTTCTAGCCCAGGCTGAATGAGAGACATAATAACGCCACACAGATATACGTCAGTCAGGTGCTTACTTACACTGATGGAACACATCAACTGGTTTGCTATTTATTTTTGGCCACCTAGGCAGCCTTGGACTGTTGTAAAGTATGATGAGACTAGGGTAGGCACAGTGAATTCCTTCAGTTGAAAGAGAACTTTAAAAGGGGGATGGGGAGGAAATGCAATGTCCCAGTTTATTGTGAGGTTCTTCAGGAGGCTGCATAATAAACTGGTTACCTGGTCCTCCTCATAGGATTTAGGCCAAATATTAATGTAACCGGTTACCAAAGACGTTTATTCTCTAAAAGGTCTGCCTGAATGTAATATTTTTAATCATTGAGTCTAGGAATTAAAAACTATTGTCGTTGAAAACTGCTATTTACAAATAGTATCAGTCTTTGTGATAAGAGTATGTTTGTCTTGAACTGAAGTCTACCATGGAGTGCATTTTTCAGTCAATCATTTGAATAGATCAACACCAATCTCTCTTGCATTATGATTGGATAGAAATACTGCCTTGTTTGTAAATTTGAAAATATTAGAAGCAGACCCTGTATGCCTTAGAGTTCAAACCCATCAAGGCCAACATCTAAAGAAGAATTGGGTGTCATAATATTTCAAGAATACTCTTTTGACTTTAAGCTACTACAAGACTCTACATAGTATCAACAATGAAAAAGTGCATGATATCTCTCATTTGGAATTAAAGCTAATCTTAATTAGCATATTTGATGTTTTATAAAAAATGCTCTTTTCATATTAATTTAAAAAAAACATGCTTGCATACAGGAAGCACTGTGGGAATACTTGACTGAGGATGTACAATTTTTGTACTACTAAGGATGCTTGTTAGCTTTGATTTAAGAAGACAATGGAATTGAGTAAAAAGTAGTTGATAATTTGTAATATTTAAGAAACTTAGATTATAATACTGTAAATCTAAGAAGCTTCACTCTCTGCTAGGAATGTGTGAACTGCTTTCAACCAATCACTTATCTGTCAGATTTTGATACCCACATCTTAAAGGCATAATAAAACCAGACATTCACACAAGCAGTTTGGGTGGACTGAAGGGACATTATAGGTGAATGTGAGGAAATGTTTAGAATGCATTACTTTCAATGTACAACTTCTTTTCAACTACCAATCAAGAATATTCTGTGTATACTTTCTTTTTATTCTCATCTATGTTAGAAAAATGCCCACAATGTTGTGGAGAAGAGAATTGTAAAATTAAACATCAGGAAACCCTGGAAGTGTTCTGAGCCTAGGGGGAAGTCAGAGTCCCTATGTTAGATGGAAGTAGATTAAAACATCTTGGCAAGGGCTCAAGAAAATTTCCCCAGTGAAGATGTTATTTTCTAGGCCTTTTTGTAAAACATTTGTCTACATGACCTTCTGGGCATCTTTGAATAGAAAATTTTATATGTGTTTTAGAAAGGAAATAGGTAACAACTTTCATGTTTTTTACACAGCACTTTATTTATTTTTTTGATACAAACCTGA